AAAAAAAAAAAAAAAAAAATTGAGCCCAGTGCAAGGACACACACCTGTAATCCCAGATACTCAGGAAGCCAAGGCAAGAGGATTTCAAGTTTGAGGCCAGCCTGGGCAATCAAACAAAAAGGAAGAAAAGGAAAAGGAAAAAGGAGGTAGAGGAGGAGAAAGAGAAAGGAGGAGGAGGAAAAGGGCTGGGAATGTAGCTTAGTAGTTGAGTGCTTACTAGCATGTTCCAGGTGCCAGGTGTAAAACCCCGTAACAAGGCCGGTCATGGGAGCACTCACCTGGAATCCCAGCACCAGCGAGGCTGAGGCAGAGCAGGGCCAAGCGTTCAGGGCCAGCCTGAACTACCTAGCAATACCCTGTCTCAGAACACCAAAATCAAAGCAAAACAACAAATATATACACATACACACTGAGGTGGGCTAGGAATGGAACTCACCCAGCACGTGCCGGCACCAGGTTTGATCCCCAGTAACATAAAAATAAATAAAAAATTCCCGCCAGGAGTGGTAACACATCCAGGCACCCGGGTGGCTGAGGCAGGACAGTCAGTAGTTTGTGACCGTCAGCAGTTCATAGCCTGCGCTGCATAAGGAGTTCCAGGCTAGCCTGTACTACACTGCAAGACTCTGCCTCAAAAAGTCAACTAATTAAATTCTTAAAACTTACTAGTAATACCCAGTACTGTTGAAGAGGCTGTGAAGTAGGTCTGCACCTACAATGCTGCTGGTTCTTGACATAAGCAGTTTTAGACCCAGCAACTCACACGTAAGTATTTAAGACAAAAGGCACGGACAGGACAATTCTCTTACTCTGTAGTGTTCATAATAGGAGAAAAGTAGTTACAACCCAAATGCCCAATAGTTAGGAGCTACTGAAATGAACTTGGGTCCGCCCCGTGGGGTGGAATATTCTACAAGCCACTGAGAAGGGTACGGGTGGCCCCCCTGCCATCTCTGGGAGCCCCCCAAGGCACATGGGTCAGCTAAAATGCAAACTGGAGAACAATCCAAATGTGCAATCCTGTCTACATAAACACACACATAAAACCAAGCTACAGTTTGTGGTGAGCAAGAAAGGCCTGGCAGAAGTAAGCTCATCTGGAAACAGTGGTAACACCCCACACCAAGTATGGGGTGCATGGAGGAAATAGGAAGACTGTAATTACCTATATAGAGAAAATAAGGCTAAGGAGAAAGACTTGGAAGCCTAGGTTCAAATCCCAGGAACAGCATTAACTAGTTATGTGACCCTGAGTGACTTACTTCTCTGCCTCACTTTCTCCGTTTGTCAAAGGAGAACCACCATCTTGCCTACCTCCCAGGAGTGTTATGCAGATCGAGTTGAAGCTAGCGTAGTGTCTCACACCTGTAACCCCGGCACACTGGGAAGCTAAGGCAAAAAGATCACACATTCAAGCCCAGCTGGGGCAACTCACTCAGTGACTTAGTGAATCCTGTCTCAAAATTAAAAAATTAAAAGGTCTGAGGATGTGGCTCAATGTGAAGGCCTGGGTTCAATTCCCGGTACAAAACAAAACAAAACACTGAGTTAAATATAACAGCCTTAGAGTCCAGGAAAAGCTGAGTAAGGGCTGGCTTTGGTCACCCTTATTTAAATGTTACGGTGAGCGTGTATTGATGGCTATACAAAAAAATATAAAGCCACAAATAAAAAGTACTTGTAATCCCAGCAGTCTGAAAGACTGAAGCTGGAGGACTGCAAGTTTCAGCTCACCCTGGGCAACTTAGTGACTTAGCGAGACCCTGCCTCAAAATGGAAAAACAAAAAGGTACAGGGTGAAGACTCTGGGGTTTAACCCCCAGCATTCAAACAAATTTTAAATAGGAATAATTAAATGAAACTCACAAGAGGAGCAAGGAGGCTCCTGCTCTGGTGGGCATGCAGGACAGGCAGAGCCTGGCCCGCTCACCCCCAGCAGGGATCCCTCCAGCCCCACGGCCACAGGGCTCCGACCCCCACCAGCACCCCAGGGGCCCCCGGCTGCCCCGGCCAGCAGAGTGGCTCTGACTCTGCGGGGAGCCACCAGTCCTCCCTCCTTCTCTAAGGCTGGCTGGGCTGGGGCCCCTCTGAGGACTGCATGTCCACATCTGCTCTTCAGGATGGAGAATGGGAAATGCCTCTGCTCTGGCAAGAAGCTGGACACACCCCGCGTGACCAGTGCCAGGCCAGGCCTCTCCATCAGAGGTCAGGGCACAGGCTGCAGGACCACATGCGTCTGTGTATCCCCTCCACCCACTCCCCAGACATTCATTAGGGCCTACTGTGTGCAGGCACCGCGCTGGGCCCGAGGGACACACAGTGAAGACTACAGACAAAAAGTTCTGCCCTCTGCAGGCTCCCATTACAAAGGGGTCCAAATCCTGGCTGTGTGGCTTCTGACACCTTGCTGGCCCTCTGACCCTCGGTCTCCTCACGTGCCAGGGCTGGGCACCCTCCTCCTGTGCCCTGCACTCCCATCCACCCCCACCATCCCACAGTGACACCTGCTGACACTTGCCACACTCCAGGCATTGTTCTTGCCATTTCTGAGAGCTTCACCTCAGCCTTACGTGGTCTGTCAATTACTGCTCCCCCTTTACAGATGGAAAAACTGAGGCCCAGGAGGTCACCCCGGAGCCAGTGAATAACAGAAACCTTGCACAGTGGGCACCACAGCCTCTGACTGAGCCAGACCAAGGGGACTTGCTTCTCTATGTGTAGTCACTGAATGAGGGAGACCCAAGAGGGGATACAAAGGTCTGGTTCAGTTCCTGCTTGGGTCAGTAATTCTCAGTAATTCTGTCCAGGTCCCACAGCTACCAAACGGCCAGAAAACGTCATGAGATGAAAATAAGGAAACAAACATACAAAAAAAATGATACTATTTCAGGTTGCCTACGTTGCTGCTGGGCAGAACACCCTGCAGATATCAGTGGAGGTGTGAAGGAGAGGCTTGCTCCAGACCACGCGGCCAACCAGAGGGCCAGAGCTGCCTCCCAGCTGGCCACACCTGAGCGGCACTATGCATCTCTCCACCCTGGGTGTGCGCTCCTTGTGGCTCACGGCGGTCTGCAGAGAGCAGATGCCCCAGAACCGTGAGCTGCAGGAGCTTACGCACGCCTGGGGTCGGACAGGCAGCCCGGCAGTCCCTGGAAGTCAGGCTCCCAATGTCCAAGGAAGCCAGTAAAGAGCTGGGGGTCTCCGACGACTTAGAGCCGCCACCACCCAAACCTGGGTTCACGCCCCGCCTCCGCCTGTCCTCATCACAGAAGTGATACAGAAGTGCACTTCCCTCTCTGTGCCTCAGCGTCCCCGTCCACAAGGCAGGCTGCTGTCCTCTCCTTAGTGCCGGCTGGGAGCACTCGAAGAACTGGTGTCTCAGGCGCTTGGCATGGGGGTGGAACCCAGCGGCTACCACCATCACATTACTCTATTAGGAAAGCAGAGCCTCCTGCCCCAGCAGCCTCGGACAGCCTCCTCATGCTGGGCTGGGCTGCCAGAGGGCGTCACAGGAGCCCAAACAAAAGGTCTCCGAAGGGGAGAGGCAGAGGCCCTGGCGGCTGCGGCTCCAGGCAGGAAACAGCCCGCTGGGACAGTCAGCTGCAGCCCGAGCCAGCAAGGGGGCCGTGCCAGGGAGGTTTGCTGACCAGGAGGGTCACCAGGCTGCAGAAGGGGGTCCCCTCTGCACACTGTGCCAGGCAGCAGTGCTGACTGAGTGCTTACTACGTGCCAGACACTGAGGAAGAGCAGGTGATCACACCGACCAACCTGGGATCCGGGCTGAGCAGCTCTGGGCAGGAAGCAATGGCTGATCATCACCAGGAGACCAAGGAGCCATCAGGCATAGATTACCATGGGGTGTGAGTGCATGGCTTCTTTGGGGCACGGCCATCTGGGTCACCAGAGCTGGGACAGCTAGAGGGATGCACTCCCGTCCACATGGAGGGGCCTGTGCATCTGGGGCATGTCTCGCCAGCGAAACCTGGACTTTTGGGGCAGGGCAACGCTAGCTCTGGTGGTGCCCAAGATGTGTCCAAATCCCGCAGACAG